CATGACTGCATGGAGTGCCATCACCTTCTTGCCGAGGCGGTACCAAGTGATCTACTTACATTTGCATGTTTTTGAACTGCTAGGTTGGCAGAGGTTGGCGCTAACTGCAGGAGCTCACCCTGGTCAGCAAGTTCAGCAGCTCAGTAGTTTAACCCACTGCACCACCAGGGGGACCATGGTACAATATAATAATCTATAATACTAGTATTGTACTATACTAATAATATAATAATCTATATAAATAAAAATGTAATGTTCATTTGTGGAATTAACATAACTAAAAAACCGCTTGACGAATTGCCGCCAAATTTGGCCACAAGACACTTTCTAACCCAAGGAGCGACCATCACTCAAAAAAATTGAATTTGGCATTTGGGAGTTGTAGTTGCTGGGATTTATAGTACACCTACAATCAATGAGCAACTTCCAAATGTCAAGGTCTATTTTCCCCAAACTCCATCTGTGTTCATATTTGGGCATATGGAATATTTGTGCCAAGTTTGGTCCAGATACATCATTGTTTGAGTCCACAGCGCTCTCGGAATGTAGGTGAACTACAACTCCCAAACTCAAGTTCAATGCCCACCAAACCCTTCTAGTATTTTCTGTTGTTCATGGGAGAACAGTGTGCCAAGTTTGGTTCAATTCCATCGTTGGTGGGGTTCAGAATGCTCTTTGATTGTAGGTGAACTATAAATCCCAGCAACTACAACTCCAAATTGACAAAATCAATTTTTTTTAGTGCAAGCTGTCCAAATTTGGTGTCAATTCGTCCAGTGGTTTTTTAGTTCTGTTAATTTCACAAACGAACATTACATTTTTATTTATATAGATAACAATTTGCCTATATCTCAATCAGCAAAAATGCTTATTATAATATTATTATTTTTATAACAGATTTCATATACTTACATCAGAAAAATCATACTATTATTATTATTATTATTATTAATTATATTTATCTATAACAATGTCCATCAACAAAAACATTATTATTATTATTATTATTATTATTATTATTATTATTTGAAACACAACAAGATGAGTCCACAGCAAACAAGATCCACAGATACTCTACTGGCTGTTGTATTGGATCACACGTCGGACACTTCCCAAGTGTCTAGGACTATGTGATGTATCGGTGAATAATGCATTCAGATCCCAGTAAGGTGGCCTTTTGCAGCTGGCAGATGGTAATTTTGTCAGTGCTGATTATGTTTAAGTGCAGGCCAAGGTCTTTAGGTACTTCACCCACTGTGCCGATCACCACTGGGACCACCAGGACCACCTTGTGCCAGAGTCTTTGCAGTTTGATCTTTAAATCCTCATATCGTGTCAGCTTTTGTTTCTGTTGTTCATGGGATTGTTTCTCTGCAATCCTGCTGTCACCTGGCAACATCAATGATCCATACTTTGTTTTTTAACACCATTGTGAGGTCAGGAGTGTTGTGTTCCAAAGCTCTGTCAGTCTGAATTGGAAAGTCCTAGAGGAGTTTGACTTGTTCATATTCTGTAACTTTTTCAGGCTTGTGATCCCACCAGTTCTTTGTCGCAGGCAGATGGTATTTATGGCACAAGTTCCAATGAATCATCTGAGCAACAGTGTTGTACCTCTGCTTGTAGTCCTTCTGTGCGATCTTCTTGCAGCAGCTGAGGATGTGATCTGTTGTTGTTGTTGTTAGTATTATATGCCTTCAATCTTGCTATCGAAGGCTTTCATGCCTGGAATCACTGGGTTGCTGTGATTTTTCTGTGCTATATGGCCCTGTTCCAGAAGCATTCTCTCCTGACGTTTCACCCACTTCCTCAGAGGTTGTGAGGTCTGTTGGAAACTAGGCAAGTGGGGTTTATATATCTCTGGAAAGTCCAGGCTGGGAAAAAGAACTCTTCTCTGTTTGAGGCAAGTGTGAATGCTGCAGATGGCCACCTTGATTAGCATTAATGCTAGTCGTGTGGGGGTTGGCGCTCACCTCCATTTCTAAGCCAAAGAGCTGGCGTTGTCCGTAGATACCTCCAAGGTCATGTGTCCAGCATGACTGCATGAAGCACTATTACCTTCCTGCAGAAGCAGTACCTATTGATCTGCTCACATATGCTAGGTTGGCAGAAGCTGGGGCTAACAGCGGGAGCTCACCCCACTCCCCGGATGCAAACCTGCGACATTTTGATCAGCAAATTCAGCAGCTCAGCAGTTCAACTCGCTGTGCCACCAGGGGCTCTTTTTACATTACATTTACATTATTTTACTCTACTTTTATTATTTTATTACATTTATTATTTTGCTCTATTTATTATTGTTATTACATTTATTATTACCCATTATCAAGGTACTGAGTCTCTATTAAAAGGGAAAGGGGCACGTGATAATAATAATAATAATAATAATAATAATAATATTTCTATGATTTAAAGTATTAATATTAAGGCACTGAAATCCTTTTAAGAGAAAAAAGATGCATACAAATAAATATAATTACAAAAAAAATATAATAACATGGGAGGCACCTAGGATAGTAAATGAAGAACAACACTCAGAAAACAGGAGAATTCCAGGCAGGAAACAATCAGGGCCAGCTTTTTTTTTTTTTGTCGTTTCAGGAGCGACCTGAGAAACTGCAAGTTGCTTCTGGTGTGAGAGAATTGGCCGTCTGCAAGGACGTTGCCCAGGGGACGCCCGGATGATTTGATGTTTTATCATCCTTGTGGGAGGCTTCTCTCATGTCCCCGCATGAGGAGCTGGAGCTGATAGAGGGAGCTCATCCGCCTCTCCCCGGATTCGAACCTGCGACCTGTTGGTCTTCAGTCCTGCCGGCACAGGGGTTTAACTCACTGCGCCACCGGGGGCTCAAGGGCCAGCTAACACCTCCCAACAAAGCATTCCCCCAGGCAGCAAGCAGTCGGTCTTTGAAGCTGCAAGGCTCTTGAATGCTAATCAAGCTGGTCAATGGCCACATGCACACTTGCCTCAAGCAGACAAGAGTTCTTTCTCCCACCCTGGGCATCATTCCACAGATATAGAAGCCCCATTTTCTTAGTTTTCAACAGACTTCACTATTGAGGATTTTTATTTCTCGTGTCAGGGCAGCCAGTCAATTATATTACATTTCTAACAGAACAAAGCAAACAAACAGACAAAATACAAAATTTGTGAGTTTGGTAGTTGATTAAATGTCCTTTGACCAGTATCTGGCCACTTGGAGTGCCTCTGGTGTTGCCGCAAGAAGGTCCTCCATGTGCATGTGGCAGGGCTCAGGGTGCATTGCAGCAGGTGGTCAGTGGTTTGCTCTTCTCCACACTCGCATGTCGAGGATTCCACTTTGTGGCCCCATTTCTGAAGGTTGGCTCTGCATCTCGTGGTGCCAGAGCGCAGTCTGTTCAGCGCCTTCCAAGTCGCCCAGTCTTCTGTGTGCCCAGGGGGGAGTCTCTCATTGGTTCCCACGGATTGAGGTGCTGGGTTTGAGCCTGCCACTTTTGGACTCTCGCTTGCTGAGGTGTTCCAGCGAGTGTCTCTGTAGATCTTAGAAAACTATTTCTTGATTTAAGTTGTTGAAGTGCTGGCTGATACCCAAACAAGGGATGAGCTGGAGATGTCACTGCCTTGGTCCTTTCACTATTGGCTGCTACTTCCCGGCGGATGTCAGGTGGTGCAATACCAGCTAAACAGTGTAATTTCTCCAGTGGTGTAGGGCGCAGACACCCCGTGATAATGCGGCATGTCTCATTAAGAGCCACATCCACTGTTTGTGTGGTGAGATGTGTTCCACACTGGGCATGCATACTCAGCAGCAGAGTAGCATAGCGCAAGGGCAGATGTCTTCACTGTATCTGGTTGTGATCCCCAGGTTGTGCCAGTCAGCTTTCGTATGATATTGTTTCTAGCACCCACTTTTTGCTTGATATTCAGGCAGTGCTTCTTGTAGGTCAGAGCACGGTCCAGAGTGACTCCCAGGTATTTGGGTGCGCTGCAATGCTCCAGTGGGATTCCTTCCCAGGTAATAATCCTCAGAGCTCGGGATGCTTGTCTGTTCTTGAGATGAAAGGCACATGTCTGTGTTTTAGATGGATTAGGGATCAGCTGGTTTTCCTTGTAATAGGCAGTAAGAGCACCTAGAGCTTCGGAAAGCTTCTGTTCAACCATCTCAAAGCTCCCTGCTTTAGCAGTGATGGCACGAGCATCAGCATAGATGAAACTCTCTGTCCCTTCTGGCCGTGGCTGGTCATTTGTGTAGATGTTGAACATGGATGGAGCGAGCACGCTCCCCTGAAGCAGGCCGTTCTTCTGTTTCCGCCATCTGCTTCTCTGGCCCTGGAACTCAACAAAAAAGCTCCTGTTTTGTAGCAGGTTTCCTATGATGTAGGAGAAATGTCAGGAGAGAATGCTTGTAGAACATGGGCAGACAGCCCAGAATAGTCACAGCAACCCAATATTCCTACACTTCCATCGGCAGAAATATATTATTATTATTATATTTAATACAATATGCCTTCACTCAGTTCTTGTGGGTTTTTTCGGGCTATATGGCCATGTTCTAGAGGCATTTCTCCTGACGTTTCGCCTGCATCTATGGCAAGCATCCTCGGAGGTGGTGAGGTCTACACTTTTGTCTCTTTTGCTCCTCCGTCCGAGAGGTTGTTTCCCCCCTCCTGGTTGCTAGGAGACGGGAGGAGAAGGCTCAGGCTCCTCGTTCTAGCGGCGCTTTCGATTGGTTCCGCCCTTTCGCGTGGCTCCTCCCCTTTCTTCACTTCAGGGGGAGCACGTGACTATTAGGGGCGTGCCCACAAGCAAAGCAGATTCAAAGGCGAGCATTACTGAGACTGCAGCTTTCTGTCCCAATTGACGCGCCGTAAAAGGGCGGTTGCTTAGAAACGAAAAGTGCCTCAGAGCAAAGAAGGCGGGGAAAACATGCAGCGGCGCTTGCGATTGGCTATTGGCGCTGCCTCTTCTCCTGACTGGGGCCGAGGGGCGGGGCTAACGGGGTGGGCACGTGACAGGAGGGGGCGGGGCCTGCTCACTTCGTCGAAGCCGCCCTCGACGCCGGTGGCTCTGGCGTCTCCTCCGTCATGTTTTCTCTCAAGGCCCCGAAAGCCACTTTCAGGTCCTACCTTTTGCCTCAGGTAAGAACCAACGAGCAAGAGAAAGGAGCCTGGGATTCGGAGGAGGCCTTCGCTGTGAGGAAATGGAATGATAGAATGGACTTGTCAATATAGATATTACTAGCCGTCCCCTGCCACGCGTTGCTGTGGCCCAGCCTGTGTGTATGTGTTTTGTGTCTGTATATATTTGTGTATATGTGTATATATGTGCAGCTGCATATATTTGTCTCTCCTGCTGTGTTTTTCAGTGTTTTTATGAGTGGTGGTCACTCGTTGGCCTGAGAGGTGTCTTGTGTCCAAATTTGGTATCAATTCGTCCAGTGGTTTTTGAGTTATATTCATCCCAACACCGCCTGAGCTCTGCAAGTGCAGCATTTTTCCGAATGAAGCAGAGAGTGTTTGAGGACCGGGACATCCGTAGGGAGACCAAAGTGCTTGTTTATAAAGCTATTGTCCTCCCAACCCTGCTCTATGCCTGCGAGACGTGGACTGTCTACAGACGCCACATGCAACTCCTGGAACGATTCCATCAGCACTGCCTCCGGAAAATCCTGCAAATCTCTTGGGAAGACAAGCGGACAAACGTCAGCGTGCTGGAAGAAGCAAAGACCACCAGCATTGAAGCGATGGTCCTCCGCCACCAACTCCGCTGGACCGGCCACGTTGTCCGGATGCCCGACCACCGTCTCCCAAAGCAGTTGCTCTACTCTGAACTCAAGAACTGAAAACGTAATGTTGGAGGACAGGAAAAGAGATTTCAAAGATGGGCTCAAAGCCAACCTTAAAAACTCTGGCATAGACACTGAGAACTGGGAAGCCCTGGCCCTTGAGCGCTCCAGCTGGAGGTCAGCTGTGACCAGCAGTGCTGCAGAATTTGAAGAGGCACGAATGGAGGGTGAAAGACAGAAACGTGCCAGGAGGAAGGCGCGTCAAGCCAACCCCGACCGAGACCGCCTTCCACCTGGAAACCAATGCCCTCACTGCGGAAGAAGATGCAGAGCAAGAATAGGGCTCCACAGCCACATACGGACCCACAAGAATATTGGAAGACAATCATCCTCGGAAAGCGAGGGATCGCCTAAGTAAGTGAATTCATCCCACAAACAAACATTACATCCCCAAAGGGATCCCCAAAGGTCATCGAACTGCACAAGCCAGTCAACAGGGCCCCAATAGTTAAGGGAGCACTGGGTGCTGTGCCTAAAGACCTTGCCCTGCACTTAAAAACAATGGTTGTAATGTAATTTTTGTTTTTGGCTTTTTACGCTCCTTCCGCTGTGTTTTTCAGTGTTTTTATAAGTGATGGTCACTCATTGGCCTGAGACATCTCCAGCTCATCCCTTGTTTGGGTATCAGCCAGCACGTCAACGACTTAAATCTAGAAATAGTTTTCTAAGATCCACAGAGACACTTGCTGGAACACCTCAGCAAGCGAGAGTCCAAAAGTGGCAGGCTCAAACCCAGAACCTCAACCAATGGCTGATACCAAATGAGAGACTCCCCCCTGGGCACACAGAAGACTGGGCTACGTGGAAGGCACTGAACAGACTGCGCTCTGGCACCACGAGATGCAGAGCCAACCTTAGAAATGGGGCTACAAAGTGAATCCACGACATGCGAGTGTGGAGAAGAGCAAACCACTGACCACCTGCTGCAATGCAACCTGAGCCCTGCCACATGCACAATGGAGGACCTTCTTGCAGCAACACCAGAGGCACTCCAAGGGGCCAGATACTGGTCAAAGGACATTTAATCCACTACCAAACTCACAAATTGTGTATTCTGTCTGTTTGTTTGCTTTATTCTGTTAGAAATGTAATATAATATGACTGATTGTCCTGGCACGACAAATAAATAAATATTGGCCTGATAGGTGTCTTGTGTCCAAATTTGGTGTCAATTCGTCCAGTGGTTTTTGAGTTATGTGCATCCCACAAACAAACATTACATCCCCAAAGGGATCCCCAAAGGTCATCGAACTGCAGAAGCCATTCAACAGGGTGCCTAAAGACCTTGGCCTGCACTTAAAAACAATTGTTGTAATTGTAATGTAAATTTTGTTTTTTGGCTTTTTACGTCCCTTCCACTGTGTTTTTCAGTGTTTTATGAGTGACGGTCACTTGTTGGCCTGTTAGGTGTCTTGTGTCCAAATGTGGTGTCAATTCGTCCAGTGGTTTTTGAGTTCTGTTAATCCCACAAACGAACATTACATTTTTATTTATATAGATAGACTAGCCACCCCCTGCCGAGCATTGCTGTGGGCCAGTCTGTGTATATGTGTTTTGTGTGTATATGTGTGTCTGTATGTTTGTGTATATTTGTGGATGCATTGTAATGTATTTTTCTTATTTGACTTTTAAAATCTCTTCTGCTGTGTTTTTTGGTGCTTTTTTTATGAGTGATGGGCACTCGTTGGCCTGATAGATGTATTGTGTCCAAATTTGGTGTCAATTCATCCAGTGGTTTTTGAGTTATGTTAATCACATTTTCATTTATATAGACTAACCGTCTCCTGCCATGTGTTGCTGTGGCCCAGTCTGTGTATATGTGTTGTGTGTATATATATATATGTGTGTGTGTGTGTATATGTGTGTATATATGTGGTTTTGTGCATACATTGTAATATTTTTTATGTTTTGGCTTTTTAAGTCTCTTCTGCTGTGTATTTCAGTGTTTTTATGAGTGATGGTCACTCATTGGCCTGAGAGGTGTATTGTGTCCAAATTTGGTGTCAGTTCATCCAGTGGTTTTTGAGTTATGTTAATCCCACAAATGAACATTTCATTTTTATTTATATAGAAGACTAGCTGTACCTGCCACACATTGCTGTGGCCGACCTTCCTCTTTCTCTCCTTCTTTCCCTCCCCTTTTCCTTCCTCCCCTTTTTTCTTTCATTCTCTCCTTCCTTCCTTCCTTCTCTTCTTCCTGCCCTTTTCTTTCCCTTCCTCTTTCTCCCCTTTCTTCCTTCTCTACCTATTCTTGCTCTTCAACTCCTCCTGGTTAATCTACCTCCTGGTTAATCTACCTACCTATCTCTATCTTATCTTATGTTATCTATCTATCTATCTATCTATCTATCTATCTATCTATCTATCTATCTATCTATCTTATCTATCTGGAGGATTGCCGGTAGTTGTAGTCCAGGAATAGGAAATTGGAAATATGCAGAGATTGGGATGCTCTCAAAGAAATCCAAGGAGAAGAAAGCCTGGAACTTGGAAGAAGTGCATTTGGATCACTCTCCTCTCCTAAAGGGCCTGGTCTAGGGGATGCTGGGAGCTGTAGTCTGGAAGAGAGTGTGGATATGCTTTGTGTGTTCTATTTGCGGGGGGGAGGGGAGTCACTTTTGCACATGCACTGTAGTATCTTTTTGCTTTTGGGGGGCTTTTAAAGTCCCTTCCACCATGTTGTCCAGTGTTTTTATGATTGATGGTCACTCATTGGTCTGATTGGTGTATTTTATCCAAATTTGGTGTCAATTTGTCCAGTGGTTTTTAAGTTATGTTAATCCCACAAACGAACATTACATTTTTATTTCTATAGATTATTGTATTGTATTAATATTAGTGTTATATTGTATTAAATTATAATATATTATCAATGTGGTATATACATATGTATATATTATTAGTATAGCACATTATTATTATTAATATTATTATTATTTAGAACTTTTATATCCCGTTCTTCTTTACCTCCGTGGAGGGACTCAGAATGGCTAACAACAGCAAAGATGCAATGCTACACAATAAATAACGTCATAAAACAACATGCATAATAAATAAGTTCTGAAATACATATAAAAGACAATTGATCAATATACTCAATATGCAAACACAGGATTCCTTTTAGTAAAATTGGAGATTCTCTACTTAAAAATGACCTACCTTTACATTTTGAAGGGCCATTTCAGTACAAAAGATAGATAGGTAGATATTCCATTTAAAAAGTAGCAGAAATAGTTTGGTTTTTTCTATTTCTCCACTATGAGAAAGGTCAGCCTTAAATGTTTCAGGTGAGGACTACTGATTTTCTTTTCTTTTTTTGAGGATGGATACTGTTTTGCACAACATGCAAAAGCATAGCAGCCCAGAAAATGAATAAAAAATCAAAAGCTGACATAGACCCGCCTGTTAAAACTTGCTTGCTGACTTGTTTTGTTTGTTTGTTCAAAGCTGTGGTTCCCACCCAGAATTAAATCAGGAGTGAGTAAAGTTGTTTTTGGTTCCCGTCACGTAAGATGGGGATAGACAGAAATCCTACCTTGCTCTGGGCCTTCCCACACTTACTTACTTCGGCGATCCCTCGTAGTCCGAGGATGATGGTCCTCCAAGTGTAGTGTCCTGGCCATGGGTTCGTAGGTGACTGTGGAGCCCTATTCTCACACTACACTGTTATAGTGCTATGATTCCATTTTAACTGCCATGATAGCCCATACTAGGAGGTGTAGCTGAGGGAGGGGCATTAAGAGCTCTCAACTAGAGAGTTGTAGGGCCTCACAAAACTGAAAATCCCATAGGAAATGGCCATAGCAATTATAATGCACTCATAGGATACTCAGCCTCCATATTTGTTGGGGTTAGGGGCACATGACCCTCTAAAAAGGCAATTAAAAGATTCTATATCTCAGTATCTAAAGCCTTTGATTGTGTGGCTGATAATAAACTGTAGCAAGTTCTTAGTGGTATGGGGATACCAATTTATTTATTTATTTACTCTATTTCTGTCCCGTCCATATCAGCCCGAAGGCGACTCAGGGCGGCATACAAAGTTGGCACAATTCGATGCCATATATAAAATACATATATTAATAAAAAGCAAAAAAAGAAACATTACATTTAGAAACATAAAAACAACGAATAATAAAAAAATTAAAAACTATGTTCTCCCATTCAAATCCTCGTCCGTTCCATCGTCTTGGCTGTTCCTGGGTCGTTTTCCAATTTAGGTTTGTCTGTTTATCCCGAGGTTCCGAATGCTTGCTCGAAGAGCCAAGTTTTCACTCTTTTTTGAAAGGTCAG